GAAAATTTATTAAAAAAATTTGAACTTTTCAGGGTTTTAGTTTTTTAAACTAAATATAAATGGACCTAACCAACAATCCTGCGTGCTTTTGATTAGGAATTTTTTTAAAATGAATTAATGGGCTAAAGAAACCTTGTAGAATATAGGGTTTCCGCAACTGTCCTGAGTACTCCGGCAACAACAGAACCGTCGGCTAAGACGGTGCACCAAGCCACACTGATCCGAACTAGAATTGTCGGCATAGAACTACAACGCCGAAACTATATTCGCCAAACCAAGTCGATGGCTGCCATGCCGAACAAGACAACAAACGGAAAAACATGAATTTTACTCGTATTTTGAACATCTATAGATCAAATTTACACATCATACTATTTTTTGCAACGGTTTTAAACATACTTTTATGAATCAAATATAGTTTAAACTTTATATCCTTAAAAATATAATTTTGGTCAAATTCGCGCAAATTATGATTCTTTTTCTTCATATATAGTATTTAAAAGTCAAAACAAGATAAACGTACGAAATCGTCTTTAGATAAGCAGAGCAAAGTAAACAAGAGATATATAAAATCATCATATAACAAAAAAAAAAGAAAAATTATTTAAACTTGGCTTTCTTCTCTCGCAACTCAACTTTGAGATCAGACATCATCAGCTCAAGTTTGTTGTACTTATGTTCAAGTTCCACAATTCGAGCTTCAGAATCGTTACGTTTCTTCATCTCCAAGGAAACCTTGTCAAGCTTTGACCTCAACCAATCCAGCTTAAAACCGGCTTGCGTCAAATCAGACAAATCTTTAGATGCTTTGCTTAATTCGGACTCGGAGAGATTTTTCTTGTGGTAAAGTGTCTTAATGGTCATGAAGAGAACGTTCATGTATGTTGTCCTGAGCTCTTGGTTTTGCAATTGAACATGCACTGTAGTTTCAGGGTATGACTTAAAAATCCAATTCGCTAACTCCACATGCGTAGCTTCAACAATGAAACCATTGGCAGAGACAGTAGTTGTGTTACTTTGTGTAACCAGTTGATTCCCCATATTCGGATTTTCCCTTTAGAAAATATTTTTTTCTTAAACCTCTA